GCAGTGATCTCTTGCACAATGAAAATCATTCGCACCCTTTTGCGTTTTTCTTTTTGCATTTTCACACTACAGACTTATTCTAAAATAGTGAAAGTATATATATATGTTTTTATCTTGAAGTAATGTTGCAACAGATTAGGAAAACGAGCATAAAACCTATAACTTTTGTAATTTTTTTTTTTTTTTTTTACCCAAGTCCTATCTTTGACATCTAAATTATGTAGGTACACATTAAAGCAATTCTTTCCAATTGCTTCCATGCAACATGGAACTTGTTGTTTTGTCACAGCAAATTCCTGAACCAAAAATTGACCCTGTGGACGCATCTCCCAAAGGAGAAACACAAACGTAGAAGAAGAAGAAAAAAAAAACAGCAAACATGTAAATTCAAGAATAACTTCATGTCTTTTAAGATGGGACTATTAAGAATCTGTCTAGATGCAAGAATCTGTTGGACTTTTTAATGACTTTCTGAAACCTTATAGAAACCCTGTGGAGTCGATACAAGGCTGCAGCTGAAAGCACAAAAGCTTCAAGCCTATATGTTTCAAGTTTCTCTAAATTGGTTGTTGATGTTAATGTAAGAGTCATTTTCTCCCCTAAAAAAAAAAAAATTGCAATTTTCTGCTTCAACCAGCTGGTGTCCTCGTACCTCCACTGCAAACCTGGCTCTTTGGAGACGCAACAGCTTAAACTCCATTTTGGCAGAGGCGTCCTCCAACCATTTTTTTTTTTCTTCAGTGTTTTTATTTATTTATTTATTTGTTTTGCCTTCCTCCCTGTTTTCTCCTCATGGTGCCCCTATTATTGTAGGCTTTAGCTCCATTGCTTTGCTTTAATTGTTTCCTGAAGTTTACTAGTTTGCTTTTGAAGAGACACGGTTTACCCTTGCAGCAGAGGCACTTTTATTCATTAAAAAACAAAACGAATAACAACAAAAAAAGAAAAAGAAAAAAAAAAAGAAAGAAACTGAACACAACCCCGTGATTGGACCGACTTAGACATATGTTGTGAGTGTAAAACACAATTTGCTGTTTTGAGCCGGAACGTAGACGCAGTGGGGGGGTTTGGAACGAGGTGAATCACGTGTGAGGAGACGGGAAGGACTCTTTGCGTTTCCCCCGGGGCCCCTCTCCAGATCAGATCGTAAGCAGAATTTCCGACTACGTAGCTGCGATTTCCGATCGGAAACCTCCTCCTTCTCCTCCTTCTCTTCTGCTGCCGCAGTGTTTACAGGCCGCAAGATAACCAATTAAGCAAACTCTCTCCGTTGTGACCCCAAAACCAGAATTAAAACAATTAATTACTGTTAACCCATACTGGGGGTATACAGTAATTATCAGCATAACAACCGCAGAGATGATTCATGCGTGCACACACACAAATGTAGACACATACTTCATTTTCTCCTCCTCTTCACCTTTCTTTGACTTCTTTCTAAATTTAGAGGGAAAAAGAGGCAGATACCACAGTGAAACTCCCAGGGAGAGAGACGCGCAAGGCTACGGGTCGGTAATTAGGTTGAGCCACTTCTTGCCATTGTTAACATCCTGCTTTAATATGAGGAAGACCCCTGCCTGACCCCCTTAGGCATCTTCATTTTTACATTATGTCTCCCTTTCCCACAAGTATAATTTATTTTTTTTTATCTTCCTCATGCACCACTTTTAGATCCCCGTTTCACTCGGTTTGTATCGTCTCCTTCGGATCTGCCTCTGTGTGCTCTTTCCATTTCCTTTCTTTTACTTCTCTCCTTGGCCTTTTCACATGAACCTAATTTCTATATTTTTTTTTCTATTTCGAGCTCTTTCCATCCGTGTGTGTATTCCCCCACCGCCCCCACTCTCCCCGAGTTACTGTGCTAGTTGGTATATTTTAGGCCTAACCTTTTTTTTTTCTTTCTTTCTTTCTTTCTTTGCAAACGTCAAGGTCACTAGCTTAATTAAGAATGGCAAGAGGGAGTCAGGAGTTCACCTCCGCTTTCTTCCCTCATTCATACTTCCCATCACTTGCTTTTGCACTCTGCCTTTGCAGGATGTGACCCCGAGATAGGACAGTAGAGCAAACAAGCAGCATCGTGCATGCCAATCAACACGAGCCTTTTTTTTTTTTTTTCTTTTTTGTCGGCTGAGAATCAAAATTCAGGTCAATACTACTTAAAGAGCAACAGAGGAAATGAATGAGTCATGTCTCTCTCTCCTTTTTTTTTTCTTACTTTGCAATGATAATGACATTATCAACATGAATAATGCAATGTCTGCCATGACCTTTTTTTTTCTTTTTCTTTTTTCTTTCCTTAAATGCGAACCAAGGGATTTTTACATCATTACAGAAGCGTAATGTACTGTTCCGGAGTTCACGCTGTCGCAAGAACATCACAATTTGAGATCTTTTTTATTTTTTATTTTTTCCATCTACTTTAAAGGAAATTCAGTGCCGCGCTTGTCACAGGAAGGGTTTTGAATTCTGATTTTTGACAGCGGTACCATTCTGTCTTTGCCTCTAGTAGCAGTCATAGCATTAAGGTTTAATACTTTTCCTTTTTCTTTTCCTGTTTCACACCCACATTGACCCAGAACTTTAATTGCCATTGTCTTGGGAGATTGTAAAGAGGGTCAGGAAGCCCCTTGTGCAACATCCTTCCTTATTTTAATGCTACTTTGGGGAAAAACATGAGGGTAATAAAACATTGCGCACAATCAAACTCTTCTTTACCTGTACCCCGTACCGCACGGTGGTCCAAATCCCAGAACAGTGTGCGTCCCCATTTTCTTTTTTCTTTAACATCTGTAAAGTTTGTTTTTAGCCTCTATATTTATCTTAACATGTCCCTTTGCATCTAAAGTAACATTATTTCTTTAATTTTTATTCTTTGAGGTCTCACATTTCACTAATTTTGAGTCGTTTCCTGCCGGTTTTCCCTTCCCAAACTTTCAAATGTCAAGTTTGGAATCTGAGGTAAAAATATCACACTAATTCTCTTTCACTCTGCTTCTGCTTGTCCAAGGGCTTGGTGCCATTTATTAAAGTTGATGACTGAATAAAAAAAAAAAAAACAACAGCAGAAGCCATTTGTGGGAATGAACTAGCCGCAACATTTGATGAGATATTGATGAAAGCAACGTGCTAATAGGGGGAGTACTTGTGGGCTTACAGATGCAGATAATGACAGTAGGATGAATTTTGGCTCGAATTAGAGATGCACTAATCACAATTTGCAAAAATCTCCATGTTGTTTGTAAAACACTGACCCGCTGATGCAGATTTTTGCTCATTTCCCATCAAGGGGGTTTGTGGAGCGTATGACGCCTGTGTGAGAGGAGACATTATGAAATAGGGGTTCACTAGTGATACCAAGACAAAACTTTCACAGATTTGACTTCTTTACGTCTCTGTGTATCATTTTGTGGCGTGTTCTCTTTGCACGCTCTTCCAAATTCCCAGTTGCAAGAAACAAACCAACCAACCACAAAAACAAGAACGCTACCTGAAGTCAAGATTACAGCTAGGAAAGCGGGAGCTCACCAAGCACCATTGTGATTTCTATCCAAATGTGGCTTCACACACATAGAAAGCTGAAAATTGCTGGGATAAACTATTAATACTTAATGTTTTTGCGCCTCATTAAACCAGCGACACACATATGACTATAAATTGTGTTTCACTTGATAAAATTGACAGAAATATATTCCCTTGTATTGCTAAGTAGACAGGGAACTATAGAATGGAGATTTTTTATCTTTTAACTCTGACATGATCAAAAGACCATGACAGACGTTAAGGTTCGAAACGATAGAAAAAACCCCAACTTGGCCATGATTTAATCCTTCTTGTAGTCTTTTTTTTAAGACTTGCGCTCTCTCGCCTGTTTTTGCAACCTAATTGAACCTCAGACATTCCTCAACATTTGGTTGAAATGAATCTTTATTAAACGGCTTTTTATAACACTCTGTCTTCTCTGACTTCATTTTCAACACCGCTCTGAAAATGAACATTGTATGCATTTGGTGGACACGGGTATTTGGGGGTGGCTGGGGACTACAGCTACCCCACAACTTGTGACTAACCATTTTAATAGTTCGAACACCAAATATTTTTCAATATGCATTAATACTCAGCGCTAGCTGCTTCAGCACTACTGCAAAAGCTAATATCTACAGTCTTATCGGATTGGAGTTGAAATCAATGAATGTCAAGGAAAATGAATGGTGCCCCTCGATTGGCTGTGTGTCAAGTAGCATTTAAATGCTTAAGCTCCCCAAGCTGCTTTTTCATCTGGAAAAAAAAAAGGATCTGCGACCAGGCGGATTTTCTGCAACTGATTTTTTTTTTTTTTTTTTTTTTTTTTTAAAAAAATCCATGAATAGTTACCAAAAAAGGCAGAGGATCGCTTTACTTCCCACAGTAACAACTTCTGCACTAGAGTGCTGGTGGCGTTTTTATGTTGTGCACAAATCAGAGAAGGATTAGGTTTTTGAGTTTCCAGCTGAGCAATCACTGGTCGGTGCTGGTCCAACTGAAAATCAGCCACTTCCTGTCCCCAGTAGAGAGATCAACTACTGCCGATCAAAGTTGGCTTTCTCACTCTGAATGTATGGCAGATTTTTAGTTTTAAATTCCAGCAGCATCTGCAGCGTTTTGACCCACTCCGCTTGTCCGAGAGCTTGGTGCCGTTTATTGAAGTTGGCGCTTGAAAAAAGAACAGAGCCAGCCATTTGTGCGAACAAATTTGACGCCGCATTTGATGGGATGTGGTTCTGCTTTGATGAGGATGTCTGTCAGTGCGGTTTCAAACCGAACCCAATCCCAGCTGACGGTAATACAAGTCCGATTTACACATCTATTGATGCAAACAATGCGCTTGGGGGGGGGGAGTCATTGTGTGTTTACAGATGCACATAATGGGAATAAACAGGAATTCGATAGCAATATTTGCATGAATGTAGCTCAGTTTGTGTGTGTGTGTGTTTGGAGCACTTATCGTGTGTTTCTCTGTTTAGGAGATGTACTCCAAAGGTCTGATCCTGGTCAGTGCCATCAGACAGGTGAAAGGACTGGGCGAAAATAAGTTTGAGGTCATCACGGGCCTCCGGACTTTCACATTCCGGGCCGAGAAAGAAGGTACATCAAGATCCTGTTTTTTTTTTTTTTCTGTTTTTTTTTTCTTTCCCTTCATTTTTCAGTCGTCTTTCAGCTCCCCAACGTGTTCTTGCTTCTCGTCAGTCTGCCTCTGTCACTCTGACCGTCTGATTCGCTGTCTGCCTTTGTTTTTTCTCACTCTCTCCTTTTTTACAGTCTCCTCACTCTCTCCCAGAGTCGCCTCTCTTTCTAAATGCCTCTGTGGTAATCTTCTGTCTTTCACCTATTTTTCCCGTCTTTCTATAAATGCACTTCTCTCTCTCTCTCCCTCGCTCTCTTCTGCTTATTTTTCCTCCCACAGCTAATTTCACCAGAGATTTTCCATGACTTTCTTCGCAAAGTGTCACTATGCGAAGAAAGAGGTGTTTGTTTGGGCAAGATTTTCTGCCTTTCAAAGTCCATATGAAAAGATCAATAACATTTTTTTTTTGTGTGTGTCTGCGTTAAGCAAAGCTAAGGAGACTGGTAAGATCAAGAGGAAGGGGTGACGACAACAATCATGGCTATTGTGTTTTTTTTAAACTTCAACCCAGAAATGCAGTTGTTTTAAGAAAATTCACATTTCATAGCTCCGTTCAGGTGCGCTGGACCAGGGCCGCATCTAAAAGTTGCAGGGTGGTAGATCTCCAGGACTGGACGTGGGCATGCCTACTTTAGTACAGTAATGGCATTTGCATCCCAGGCATTAGCGCAGTTAGCTAAGAAAATAGTTTTTGTCTACATCCTTCCCCTACTCTAAATCCTTCCTGTTCCATGATAGAAATTGAACACTCAAAAATATAGATTAGAGCAACTTTTAAAATTCCTCACTGATACCTATGATTGATGCTTTTAGATTAGCACAACTTGGTTTGGCTATGTATGGTGCATTAAGTGATGATAAAAAAAAAATAATAATATATGCATAACAATTTTAACGTTGTGTGTTTTTTGTTTCCTTTACTTAACCTGTAGGTTATAGTGCTACTTTATGTTCAGAATATGTGATAAAACTGAGGGAAATAATTGGCTTTTTAATTATCAAATTTTTGTTAAATCAGTCAAAACTGGAGTCTGATTTAGTTTCTCGTCTCTTCGGTGGAGGCTTTGTGTCGAGGCCTGAATAAAACAAAGGGAAGAGATCTGGTCCTTGCCTTCTCCCATCAACCCCCTGCCTGTTTGATGGCAGTCAGTTAAGCAGCTCAGGTCAAACAGCTTGTTCGCTAATCGTCCGTCTGTGTCTCGGGTCAGATATCGTCCGCCCCTCTGATTCCCCTGAACGAGTAAGATTGGTGGAATTGAGGTTTGCATAATAATGGCTCCGAGAATCCTCGACTCATTGTGTGGCACACGGTGAGAAGAGAATGAACGAAAACAAAAGCGCACACATTAATTCCGTTAAAAACTTTCTTGTTGATTCATTGCAGCTCATTGGTTATTGCACCTTTGTGCTCTGATTCAGTTCTAACACAGGCAAAAAGTCCAGCATTTACTCCTCAAACAGCAGGCATCTTTTTGTAAAGACTGAAGTTAAAAAGGTTACCAATTATTTGCTTCAGATTCAGCCACAATGTTGACATGTTGAATGAAAAGAGTGCCCTCGCACTCAATGGAGGAAGTCACTGTTCAATGCCTTTAGGAAGGACCTTTCCTTTTTTACAGCTAGCTGGACATTGTGGAAAGTGACCTGCATCCTACAATGCATGTCACTGCGGCTCTTTTAATTGTAAATGGGTTATTTACAACAAAATAACCCATTATTGTTAAAGTTGTGCCTTGAACTTCACTCTTTTGATGAAACAGACATTGAGCATAATGTGGACATGAAAGGACGTCATTGCTGCTGCCACACAATTCTTGCCTAGGAAACCATGTTTTTTTTTTTTTTTTTTTTTAGAAAGCTAAAATAAAATAAAATTTCTTATACATATATGCCTTATAGGCAGGGGAGCTTGAGTGTTCTCCCCAGTAGAGTATTTGTTTCCAGGACTTTGCTCGTCTGGAAGGGAATTTAATTTCTACCTTCAACTTTCTACACACACAGTTCTGCTATTTCTGACAAAATCACTATAATATTTCTCAACCAGTCTAGTTCAAGTTACTTTTTTTCCCCCACGTGTCCTTTGGGGGACACATTTTAGGAAGAGAAGCTAGTTGAATACATGTGGTAGGGAAGTTTTGCTTTGCAAAAAGGATATCTCAAGATGGAATCCTAATTGTGTGATTACTTTATTAAATCAAAACTGTATTCACTATTATTGGTCGGCATGCCATATTGTCTTAATAGTAACCGTTCAACCATTTGGATTACTTATATTTTAGTGCGTGTGCTTATGTTGACAAGTGAGTTGTGTTGAGTGAGTTTGTCACCTTGAGGCGCACAGTTACAGTGGTGAGAATGGTAGAAAACCTGCAACACGCAGCACCCAGGAGCAGCAAAGAACAGGTGGACTCTGCTCTGGAAGACTGCAGAAGCCCCAGGCAGACAGACACAACACAACAGTGCAGCCATATGCCTCTCAGAGGTAGATGGACAATGCAGCACAGGAGCAGCAGCCCCAGGCCAAAGAGGGGGTATAGGGTGAAACTTAGTGCACAGAGCCCCCTCAATCCAGCCTCACAGTCATCTGCCACTGTGCAGGCCAAGTCCGTGACTCTGTGGCTTAGGGCCTGTTCCAAACCCCTGCAGTAAGACCAAGCAAAAAGTAGGGGTGACATCCACCCAGAGCACCGGACAAGCACAAGCCCACAGCTTTAGCAAGAATTCGGAAGGACCAAGGTTTGGAAGATACCCAACTATCCCATATGATGAGCTTTCCCCATTAAAGGTCAAGAGGGAGGCATGTCCACCAGATCTCAGCACAGTCTCTGTTGAGGAACCAAAGGCCACCCTGCAGGAGCTCAGCATTCTGGGACGTGGCCTGAGCGTGCACACAAAAATCACATCAGAAAACACACAAGAATGGAGAGGACAAAGAGGAGGACGTCCAGGGAATGGGTGCCAAGGCACTGGTATGAATCCACCTGGGGGGCAGTACCCAAATTAGCCAACTCCTGTCCCACCCATGCCCTTACCAACATCCCTAACCAAGGCCAGGGAAGAGTAGCCCAGGACCCAGAGACCTGTCAAAGTCAAACCACTAAGGACCCCAGAGGCCCCATCTGGTGCACCCAACCTCCAAACCCTCGCTGTCTGTCCAAGCATGACCCAAATCTCTTAATCCCCCTACTGTCCCCAGACTCTATTCTGCCCCACCTATGCTTCCAATCTACCCAGCTCCAGCCACCACAGCCTTTGGCTCACCCACCAGGCCAGGGACAGTGGAGAGACGCCCTCCAATCACCCCACAGGAAGCCAGAGCAGGCTACAGCCCATCAGCCAGGAGTACCAGCAGGCCAGACAACAGGGCGCAGCGGTTGTTTAATAAATGTTGCTAACGTAAGGAATATGTGCACTAAATCTTTTCGTAAAATCTTGCATCTACTTGTCCAATATAAAAAGCAGCACATTCAGCAAGCCACGCACAGGCAGTCTTCCCTGCTGCCGCTGTCATTTCACTGTCATTATATCAATGACAATCAGCTTGTTTTTGTCTGTTCATGAGTTGTGGGTCCTTGGGGGGGATCATTTATCACAAAGTCAGTTCACTACTCGTTGCCACGCGTCACACTGACGCATCTTGACTTGAGCTGAGAACGAGCGAGAGCTTGTCTGATTTGGAGTCCTCTGACCCGTCTGGAACAGCGTGAGGCCTCTCCTGCAGAAGTGGCCACCGCCGTCAGATTTAAGGAGGGGAGGCAGGAGGAAAATTGGAGCAGGAGAAGTACAGGAGGAGAAAAGTTGGTCTCATCACCTCATGCAACTTTAAACAGGCCTGTTTGCCTGGTACTGAAGAGTCATCAATCTTTGGAGAAGCACGTGAGGAAAGGAGGAGACGCCGGGAGATGGAGGGAAAGAGAGAGTAGGTTAGCGGAGTGAAGGTAAGGGGAGCTGATGGAGTCGAGGAAAGGAGGGACGGTGAACAAAGTGATGGAGTGACGGTCAGAGAAGTCCAAGAGGTGGAGAAGCAAAAAAACAAGGGAACAACGAGAAAGGGAGGGGATTAAACCAGAGAATAACAGGGGGGAGGATAATGCCACATGCAATCTGTGTGAAAAAGAGACAGAGAGAGGTTAAGTCAGCAACGGAGGGGAGAGATGAAAAGAGCAGAGTGAAGATGGAAAGGAGGAGGAGGGAGAAGTGAGTGAATAATTGAAGGCCACCGGAGAGAGTGTGCACACAGCTGTCGGCTGATTCCCCACTTGGTCCGCAGGTGGCCTCTTCCCTCAGGTACCGTCAGCTTGAGAGAGAAAAGATAGGAAGAAGGAAGGAAGGATGGAAGACTGTGATACAGTGATGGAAAGCAGGCTGGATCTTTGGGGTTGGCGATCTGCAGAGGGGCTTCAGACAAACATGCCACTTGACAGAGGATGAGATTTATTGTGTTGAAAAGAAATATAAAGGCAAGTGATTTGTATTCTCATGTCTTGGCATTTGCTTTCCACAAGTGCTCGTAGAACATGTTGGTTTGGTTCGAGTTGACAGGGGAGCGGGCCGGAGAGATGTAGAGAATGAGTAAATAAAAATAAACACAGTGGGAGCGGGTCAGAGAGAGAACACATCTAGAATTCTAAGACCTTTAGTTTGACTTTATTTGCTTTCTGCGAACGTACTTGCAGGTCTTGCACATCGTTTAATCTTATTTTTTTTTTTTTTTTTTTTAAAGAAATACATATTTGAAAAGTGTGGAGTAGATTTGTATTCCCACCTCCCCCTTGACGGATTTCCTTGAATAAAACTCGGGTCAAACAAATTCACAACCAAATTAATAAATACTGTCCGATTGTGTGTAAATTAATCTCAGTTAATTCATCCATCGGTTTTGTGGTGGATCTCATTGGTTTGTTAGAGAACATAAAGAACAAACGGCATCATTAAAAACTAAGCAACTTAGCTATACCATTTGTGACCAATAGGAAAAGCCAATTGCAGTAGCCGCTCTTTAGCCCAAAGAGGGCAGCACTGAGAGGTTTTACTCAAAAATGTCAACATTTGCACCTTAGCAAAAGATACAGATTAGAGTTGGGGTCAGATCTTTTTTATTATTCTTTTTAAACAATCACATTGAGCCCTCTAAACATGCTTCTTGGCATTCATGGTTAAACAGACTCGGTCTTTGTCTCATCTGACCATAAAATGCCTTTTAATAGTAATAAAAACACAGCAACTGAACCACACCGGCCCGAGCCGTACCGTCAGCGGAAACGGTGCTTCAGAGTCCGTCCGTTTCTGTGTGTATAGCTCTGCGTCCTCTTAAAGGTCATCAAACTGTTTTCTGCAAATGCAAGTTATTGAGGTGATCGCAATACAAATGGGCTGTAATGGAAATGCGGTTCGTATAGCCCCATGATGTCGGCCGCATAAGAAACACGGACATTCGTCAAATAGACACTAATGTGAATGTTTAAATTCGGTATTTGTTGATTTTGGCATGAAAAGATTGAAATGAGAGAAAATAAATGGAACCGGACAAAAAAAAAACCCAAACATATTATTTTGTTTATTTTTCCCTTTTTCTTTTGCCATTCCTGCTGATGGAGACTGTGTGGGTGGCTTTTAAGATCCCTGTTGAGCGCAGAGTGGACCTGGCTCTCATCTCATCCACTTTCTGTGAGGATTATATGCCGCTCTCTTCGTCTCTCTCGGTGTAGAGTGGAACAGTCTTTCAGATAGCTGGCTGCACATGCATATTTCCTGTAATAAGTGGCGAATGCTGGATGGAGCGGTGGGCTTTATTTAAATTTTTTTTTATATGCGTGCAGAGGTGAAGGCAGAGTTGGGAAAAAGAAAACCCCCATAAAAAAAAAAAACAAACATATGATTTTGGCAAGCAATATAGAAATTTTAGTTGTTTTGAAGAGAGACATGCTCCATAACATATGCAAAAAAAAAAAAAAAACATTCAAGAACGCAAATCGGATAGGCACATGCAGGCGTAAATTTCTCCTAATTCTCCCAACCTTTCTTCCTCGCTCCATCCATCCCTCCCTCCATCTGCAGTCAGGCTGACAGCTCGGCCGAAAACGAGAGATGAGCAGGAGGAGAAAAGAAGGAGGCCCCTGAATAAATGAACAGGCAAATAAGTGAGTGCAGGGCAGGTAATGGACCTCAGAAAGCAAGGTGGGGGACGAACAGTAAAGAGTGGTGATGTACAGAGCTGTCAATAATTGAGAGGGCTGTTTATTATTGATACGCCAGCTCTTTGTGAGCTCAGGTACAGGAAGCAGATGCGCCGTGTGGGTCCCCAGTAGGGTGGGAAGGCCTGCGGAGATGAGAAACTTCTCCATGGGATGTTTGTGTGACCAAAGTCGAGGGATAGACCGTCTGTTTGACTCGGAATTGACTAAGAAACACCGTCGTTCCTGCAGAGAAGGGCAACGTTGCGACAATAAAACATGCTCCAGTCGTGTTTTAATCAAACCAGAAAAGCAAAGCATTCAACATCATGTTTGTGGATTAAGAACAAAAACATGTCCCTGCTCATTTAAAGGGCATCTACCGAATAGGGTGTCTGTTCCTCTTTTTGCTACCAAAACAGTCCTTACCACTGGACCTCTAAAGGTTTGCTGTGGAATCTGTAGCCAAGGTCTTGGCACAAGATCTGTCCTGGAGATTGAGAAGTGGAGCCTCCATGCAACTCTTGGAGTGCCTGAAACTATTACGATGAGATTTCTGTATTTGGGGGGGAAACAATGTCTTGGTCTTAGGTCCTATTTTGGTTTTTCCAGAAGCCATATGTTGGTTTTTACTCACTCCAAGCTAAAATAACAAGTCAATAATCAGCAATACGCTTTTGTCCTATAGTTTTATTTCAAAGTGGATTAAACCCACTTTCTCCTTTAAAATCTCTACGTTCTATATCCCACAGATACAAATTGAAAGAATATTTTGTTTTTGCACATTTTGGAAATGGCTAGGAACGTGCATAAATTGTTTGCCGCCTTCAAAAAGCTTAAAATTGGACTCTAAACCAAGTGGATTCTTTTGACTTTTTTCAAATTTGCAAGACTTTCCCAACTGATTCCGGAGTTTGATACTAGTTTGCAGATTTTATTTGATACTTGTTTTTCTGTCTTTGTGCTGAACACTTGCCTCTGTGGGCTCAGCTCTGGACCTGTGATGTTAGACTGTGTGTGTTTGCAATCCTTTGGTAATTCTTGTGTTTCCACTTTGCTGGCTTTGATAGCTCAGTGTCTCGGGCGGTGGGGGAATGGGCTTTACAGTGTCGGCTTCGTGTCTCCTTTTAAGTCTGTTTGAAAAGTTGCAGAGGAAGATGTCTGACAAGCCCTTTTTGGGTGTACATTGTTTGAATGTAAAACCCTGGCTGGAACATGACGCCTTTGCTCTGTGTTGGTCCATTTAGCTGAGCTGTGATCCAGGGAGGGATTTTCAGTAAGTTTCTGGGTTTCTTTTTTTTTTTTTTTTTTAAATTCTGTGTTTTGTTCAAGGACATGAGAATTTTTGGGACAAAACTTAACATGAACCTTAATGAAATGCCATTGGTTTAATTGTCATGCATAAGTATTTGCATGCCTATAGTTTCTATTTCTTTGCTTGATCACTCAGATGTTTAAAGGTCATGTCATCTTAACTACAACTCTCTGTTAATTAAGGAGGAAGCAATGTTATTCAGATCAATCTACATTCTCTGCTAAATTAAAGACTAACTGTAAATAACCAACATTTTTGGACAGGTCTGTTGAGTTTCATCAGCCACACTCAAGACTGATTATCAGGAGGCAAGAACTCACCTAACTAGGACCTGTCTGACAACATGAAGGAGGCTGAAAGACCTCAAAAAAGCAACACACCTTGCCCAAAGAAATGGACGAATATCTGAGAAAAAAAAAATCAACATGGAAAGGGTTACATTTCTAAGACATTTTTAAGGTTTTGGGTTTCCAACAAACTACAATGATACCCAACCCATCTTCCACAGACGAAGGAAACACGAACCTTCCAAGGAGGTAGTGAACCAAAGATTACTCAAAAAGTTAATCAATGACTCATCCAGGAGGTCACAAGGTAACTCAAAGATGCCTTTTGAAGCACTCCAATTATCTTGCGCCAGAGTTTATAACAAAAAGATTTCAAAAACTGTATACACAGCAAAGGTTTAAGGCAGAAAACAACCTGCTGCCCTAGATGAACACATTTATTGGAACCATGACTTCTGGTCTCATGTAGAAAATCCTTATGGACGACATCTGGCTATCATTTGTGACCAAAAACTCAAGTATACTCAGGCATACATGGGCTTCAAAACAGGACAGCAATCCAAACAGAGGTTTTGGTCTTGCCTAAGCAAATCAAAGGTCACTTCAGTAAACACTGGGTCAAAAGTCCCTGACACAAGAATTGTACAAAGTGGTAGTAGCAAGCTCATTTCCTCGAATGATTGGCACAACCGGTTTTTAAGTTTAGGGGGATTTACTATTTCGCATAGGGATTGGTTTGCATTGCTTTTTCCTTTGTTCATTTTAATTCACTAAGATTCGTTTTGTACTTCATTAAAAGCCTTATCAGGCACGCTCTTTGACAAGACAAGACTCTCAGCTGAATGTGTATTTATATGCGTGTTAAACAATCAGATAATTTTATCTGTGAAATGTGCTCACACCTTTCTGTGACTTTGCTCACTTTGCTTTCCATTTTGAGCCGAGTCTGTGAACTGTTGTTGCTGCATTTCATTAGAAGATCGGCTATATTGGTACGTTTATATAGTTGTGTCAGTCTGAAATTACCCACGCCGCTTCTTGCCCCGAAGCCTCGGAATGTAAAAAGTGGCACTTTTCGTCTGTGTCTTTAGTGGAGATATTCGCTACCTTCTTTCAGCATCGGAGGATTTCCTTTTCTGCGAGCCAAGATCATTTTAGCAATTGTGCCTCATCCAGTGTTTCAATAACTTTTCTTTCAGCCTGGAATATTCTGTATCACATTCAGTTGCGCTTGAGCAGTCAAAGAACCAATATAACTTGGTGAAGAAATTGAAAAATGATGAACTAACAGTGTGATGTAAAGACTCTAGGAGATCCTGAACTCTCAATGTCTTTTTTTTTTTCTTCTTCTTTCTTCTTATTTTCTTAATTCCTTTCCCCCCTTTTGCATTCGCTCTCACATATGTGTCCTCATCCGCCATCTGCTTCCCTTCTTCCTCCGCTCCCGTCTCTCACTCATGCACGTGTCCACAGGGGAGCGCCAGGAGTGGATGGAAACTCTTCAGACGGCCGTGCGCCCCCCCGCCTGCAGCTCCCAGAAGTGCACCGACAGCCTTCCCCACCTCTCCTCCACAAACAAGCGAGGCTTGCTGGAGCTCCGTGGTTACAAAGGCAGACTGCTGGTGTCCCTGGTGGGGAGTAAAGTCAGGCTCTGCAAAACAGAACAGGTACTTCCAACACCACCGGGAACTCCTCTGTATAGAATGACAGTTTTGTGTTTAAAAGACGGAAGATGATAAGCCTCCTTGAAGCGGCGGCGGGAGAGTTGGAGAGGCTCGTGAATGTGCAACGCAGAAAGTAAATATCTGCGTTATGCGCATGTGTGTTTTAAGATGTTTCGGTCTGCTCTGAAATACTGGGTGCTTGCAGAAAAGGCACATGCTAGCACACGGAAAACACTGGTTTGCAAACCTTGTTGCTCAGCCCCAAAAATTACAACAACCGGAAATGCAAGACCTTCACGTGCAAATCCAAAGTTTGGTTGTAGACGTCATACAGACCCTCTAAGCTTTTCCTGAATTTCTTTTATTAGAAGCGCAAACGTCAATGTATTTTACTATGATTTAAGAACCTCAGTGAACATACAGCGTCATGGAGACGGATAAAGTTGTGGTAAAGATCGAAGTTCAGATCGTAAGTTCAGAACGTCCAAAAGAGCACCGTTCAATCCAACAGCTGAAAGTAGAAAAAAGTTTGACACAGCTGCAAACCTGCCAAGACGTGACCATGCATCTAAACTGAAAAGCTGGGGAAGGAGTGCATTAAGCAGAGAAGCAGTTGAGAAGTAATGGAGAATGGCAAGAAGAAGAAGTAGTACTGTTGAAAGACGACCATAAGAAGTAATGCTGGCATTTTGCTCCAAGCCAAGTAGGAGATATGACAAGAAAGTCCTCTGATCGGATGAAACCTCAGGTGGCGCTTTGGGCTCCGCGTAAAATGCAAGATGTGGTTGAAAACTAACAGTGCAAACCATCCCCAGTGTGAAACATGGTGGCAGTAATCACACTGTGGGACCGCTTTTCATTAGGAGAGTCACCGACGACGGTCAGAGTCCATGTGAAGATGGACAGAGCTAATTAGAAACACTTGTAAGTGTCACTGCAGCAAAATGTGGTTAAGCTCCCCTGAAGTTTTGACCCAGCAGAGCTGGATACAGATGCAAGGTGAACTTTTCAGATTCTCATCTATAAAATTTGTATTTTTTTTCCTTCATGTAACTACTTTTTCAAGACAGACTGATAAATTCCATCTAACAGTTGGGAAAAAAAAGCAGCTTTGGTGCACTGGATGCCTTTCGTCATTCTCAGTCTTTTGTGCTGTGACTGGTGGAAAAAAGTTTATTCCTTTTTTTTTTTTTTGTAGAAATTAACACGTCTGTCAAAGTGTGAATTAATAGAAAGATGGCGGAGAAAGTAATAGTTGCCGAACCTCAGAAAGTTCAGTATTTACTACCCGTCCGTCTGAAGGTGTGGCCGTTAGCTCGCCTTTATTTTTTAGATGCCGACTGAAAGTCACACTCGTCTCTAACAAACTGCAGTTTCAGCAAAGCTAGTGTGAGGTGGCGAAAGCAGGCATGTGTCAGTGATGTTGCTGGAAAAGTATTAGTATGCAAAGGCTTTCCGACTACAGACTCTACGCCAGTCACACGTTTATGTAAAACGCTGCCGAACAGCAAGACAGCAGGAGGGAAAAGTGGGTAGAAATTTGCAAAAAGTCAAGTGTGGCAAAACTAAGAGAAGCTGGCACTGTTTAAAACAGAAACTTTCTCTCAAACACTGAAATAATACATAATTTTTTTTTCCCCAGATGGGATATAAAGCACCATGAGACACTAGGAAACCTTTTAAAAACTTTAGAAGTGTACATTTGTTCTCACTGATTACAGAATGTCAGACATAAAAGGATCACAAGTTTGCTTTTTATTTTATAGTTCTCAACTACAGCAAAACACAGAAGGCTTGTTTTGCAGAAACTAGAATGTGTATTTCTTTGAGGGAAAAAAAACAAAAAACTATTCAGGAGTTGCAGTCAAGCAACCATACGAAAAAGTCAAACTTGGACTAAGTTTGTGTGGAAACGATTAGGTTTGCTCCCGGTTTTAAATGTCTTTTACACTTAAAAGAGCCCAAACGGAGGATTGCTATTGAATGACGAGTTATCAGGCAGTTGCCTGACCGCCTGACAGTCACCATAAAGCACTGAGTGAAGATCACCAGACAGCATGTCTTGCAGATGCTTTACAGAGCTTTTCTCCTCTCGATGCATCACATATTAATCTTACATGAAATGGGGTAGCTTGTATTGTCATCCCATTATCTTGCATTGCGTTTTGAAACTAAAACAAGTCGGCGTTGAATAATTTAGACAAAGTTTGACCCATCTGGTGTTAAGTCTGTTATTGGTCAGTCATGCATGTACGAAGATGTAGAGTTAAAATTATTTACTTTTAATAGAAAAGCATGTTTTTAAGGGAAAATGAGACGGGTATATCTCCCAGCATAACATTTAAAATGCTCCAAAATTATGCATGTTCTATAGTAGACTTTTTTTTTTATTGACATTGAATTAAATTCAAAATATTTTTTTTCCAAACAAAAAAAATAATTACATTCCCAGTGATGACGAGCTTTTTGCATGTTTTCTCAGATATTTTGATGGTTTATGGTGACAAACGAAAGTTTTTTGAGTCTGGAAGACCTCCATAAAAGACCCTAACTTTTCACTCATTTTGTCGCTCAGAATTTTTTGTGCTGAAAGTCTGACTTGCAAAGTTACTTTTAATAAAGTACTCACTGGCAACTCTGTAATATAAACCCTATTGTTCGACGGCACTACAGTTACTTAGAGTCTTTTAGTTAACTTTTTTGTGTTGGTATTGAACTGATGCAGATTAATATACCTATTTTACCGACCTAATCTCCCGATTAGCTATAGATTAAAAAAATATGTATGTTTTTCTTCTCGCTCACGGTTTCTCTCGAGGTATCGTTGTTTGATATGTCCTATTAGGCCCCCGACAGTCCCTGCTTATGTGCATCATTTCTGCCGACTCCTCTTCCCAGGAGCAAAGTGAGATTGAAAGATACCTCACAGCAGTGATACTGTTGCCTCGCTCAGATTTGTGTGCATATTTGATAATGCCAGTTGCACTCAACTCATTTCCATCCCTCCTTGGCGCCGAATTCGTTTTGCTCGCTCTTGCAGTTTTGTTGTTTGCCTTTCATTATTTTCTTCATTAGCGTGAACAAACATCTTTGTTAGAATTCTCTTTGGGGTATCCCTCCATGTCAGCACATTTCCACTTCCTTGATCTGAGACGGCGGGGAGAAGCGCGGCGAAGGAGAGGTTCAGGGAGAGAGCAAATTAATTGTATTATTTCAGCTTACGAGCTCAATCCGCCACATAAATGCGGCAACAGCAACACGTTTTGCAGAAGGGCGGGGACGGGGTTGGGGGGGGAAGAAGCGGAGCTGCAAAACAGGAAGACAAGACTGCAAGAACACTGTATCAGAAGACGGGGAGAAGGGGGAGGAGGGTGAAAAAGATGAAGTGAAGGGGATGGAGAGACCACTTCAGCGCAAAGGCTCGCATGAGTGAGAATCGAACGTTGGTGGTTTGTAAGAGAATGAGAGGGTGATGGAGAGAGAGAGAGCTCAGAAAGAGAGGGATACTGTGCCCCGTTCAAGATCAGTGAAGTGGAGTATTTAATCTAACATGATGAACGAGCTATTGGAAACATCATCCGCCCAGCACCTCCCTCACCACCCCTTCCCCATTTTCTCATGGATCGTAAGTCGTGATGGAGCTGCGTTTAAGGTCATTTAGGCACTAAGGTAAAAGAAAGTCAGTTTGGTTAAAAAGAGAGAGAGAGAGAGAGAGAGAAAAAAAAGTGCTCCAAGTGCAATCACCTTTTACTCTCAGAAGGATTTCGCGGCAGTGGGCTTTAGTATTAGAAAAATCAATAGAACTTTAGTGTCTTTTCTCATACGTCCCTCATGTCTCCGGTTGTATTCTCGCTCTGCTGTGATACACGAAGTAACAATTGACACGTGTGCAGTCTTTTCGTCTTGTCACTTCGGATTTGAGGTCGCTACCAGTTGCGTTCTAGATTTGCTCGTCAAAACGCATTAAGCATTCAGTTGTAGTCTGTTATGTGGAAATTATTTTAGGTTAAAAGCGCTTTGCCGTTCTTTATTGTGACAACTGGCATAATCCCAAGCCTTTAAAAAAACCAACAAAAAAAAACAAAACAAAACAAAAAAAAAGTTGTTTAGAATTTCTAATGAGAATGAATTTCTCACTTCAAGGCCCTTTTTCTTTTTCTAAGAGAATATTCAGCAAATGAAGAATAATTTTTGCTGCGGGGCCAAGTTCACAAGTGTATCTTTCTTCCTTAACTGATGCGTTGAGGAAACACGAGCCGTATTCACTGAGTTGACACATTAGAATTGAAAGTCTGTGTGCTAAAAATGTTGACACGTTCAGTAGACACGGAGCAACATTAGCATTTAGTTAAAGCTGTTGTGCTTCTTTTTAAATGGATGTCTTCTACACTGGGTCCTTCATTTGTCAACGGACATATCAGGGCAACAGTCATGCTTTTATTCTCCTATGATATTTGTATTATAAAGGTCCTGGTCGTTTTTATGTCTTTGGCATTTTGTATTTTTGCAGATGTGTTTGTCCCATACAAGAGGAATTGAGAATGTCTAGTCTCTGATATCGAGGTAAATAAGGATGTTGTTCAAAACTAAGCTAGCACATGTCCTAAGGTTTGCCAATGACGATCTGGATGATCCAGGGGAGGGGTAGGAGAAGGCCGTGTGATCAAAGGAGACTAAAACAGAACATTCTGGTTTAAAGTTCATGTATTTTGAAAGCGATGAAGGAAGAGCATAACCCCAAGAGCACCATGAGGCACAGAGGTGAAAACGTCATATTTAGATGGGCCGTGACTCGGTCTTCCAGCGTGACACTGATCTGAAACGCACAGCCATAGCAACTAAGTCGTGGTTCCTTAAGAACCAGTCTCTTATAGCCAGTCTGCAGACCTGAACCCATTTGAAAATCGTTGGAGAGAGATGAAGCTCTGTGTTGCCCCAGTGGGAGATCTGAAGATCTATATTAAGGAATGAGACGAAATCCATCCTGCGGGATGATCAGTCTGGCCTCTGCAATGGGAAACATGAGTTTTTGTATCAAATGTCAAATTCTGTTTTTCTAATGCATGAAATGCTCATTTCATGCAACAAAAGTTTAGTCATGTAGAAGTCATGCAATGTGATTTTCTGTATATTTCTTCTTTTGGATTCTGTCAGTTTTTTTTTTTTTAAGTGGTGAAAAGTTGAAAAATCAACAGTGTATGAAATACTTACATTTTCCTCACTGTTTAAATATCTACAATATTTAGAGCAAGCTTTGAATAACATTTGAAGAAAGACAGTTTTCTTTTTTTTTTGCATTTATTTTAAATAGGGAAAAGATACCCACTTATATAAAAAAACACACATTTCACAATATCAAAACTTTAGGAACCACAATAAGTATAGAACAGTATAACCAAAGGCATATGAACGTGTTAAGATTATTGTGCAAAAATGTGTCTTTTGTATTCCTTGTTCATGTGTGTGGTTTTATACTTCTATCATGTTCGAAATAAATGAATAAATAAAAATAAAGGAAATAGCTGGCATATTCAAAAAAAGGAGTAAGTAGAAAGCATAGCTTATTGTCGCACATACTACTTAAAAGTTCCCTTCTTTATTTATTTATTTATTTTTTAGAAGTACTAAGGTCAATACTCTATGCAGACAAGCAGCAGCCAGGCAAATCAAAGGTGTGCAAATGTTCACCTTTTGACCTTTCCCCCCTCCTCCTCCTCCTCGTCCTTCTCTCTTCCTTAGTCAGCGCCACGACGATTGCCACCTAACTCACAGCAGTTGTAATTGGGCGAGTTATTTTTATCCAGCTTTCTTTTCTTTTCTGTCTGCTTCCTCCTTCTCGCCATCCTTGGTGAATTAATTGAAGGGAGCAGAAGGCCAAAGCACACATTGGGTAGGTAACGAGTGGCGAATGCTGGACCGCCGCTAACATCCAGCTCTCTAATTGGCTATCTTAGATGGATGAGGGTCATTAGACATAGGTAAATGCATTGCCTTCTCGGCACATACCATGCGCGCACCTTTATGTTTTAAATCACGGGCGACGTAAACTGTCAGATGTCTCTCCTCGTTTGACTCGCAGCGGAGAACCGTGATCGAACGGATTGGTTACTTGCTGGAACGAGCTGTGAACGAGGGGCGCTTCACGCTCTGTCACATCGCGCGCGCTCTCTCATTATCGCGTCATGCATCTTCAAACCTCGGAACATGCTGAACTTAAAAGAGCAATAACTCTATGTAGTTATAATTGATAGGAGAGAGAGAGGCGAGTTTTGGCTGCCCCGAAGCTCTCGCATCAAAAGTTTTTGCTCAATTAAAACCTAAACATACAGTAAAGTCACTGCTTTCACACACATTATCTTTCTCGAGCTCCTCTGTCATCCTCTTCTCGGATCAGAGGGCCTTAATTATCCGTAGCGTTTCGTAATGAATGATCATGAGGTAGAGCCGTGGTCCTCTTTCAACGTCGTTGGAACAATGGTTTGGTTTTATTTTCCCGCCAATTTTCTAATTTTGTGGGAAAGATTGGAGCTAATGGTGGTCAAATCAAGATTTTAAAAGCCCCCCCTCGTCCCCCACCTCCAATTGAACCAGCCCACACAATACAAAAAATAAAAGTTCAGGCTGGAATAGTCTGCACTGTGCAAATATTTAAGCGACTGCCATCTTGTGTTGCAATCTGCAAAATTTGGCTGCTCTGCTAAGTTTTGCCGTTAATTATTCTGCGAGTTGCTCTCCTACACATTGAACACATGCTTCCTTTTCCTCTCTGAGGCCGCGTGCGCTTCCAAAGATGCGCCCAATCAACAAAGATGGTGTCGATTCATTTGCCTCTTTGTTTGGTGTAATTAGCAGAGATTGTTTTTGCCGGTGATGAACAGTCGGCACGAAAAACACTTTTTTTTTTTTTTTTTCCCTTTTTAAAATTGAAAAAACAGGGCTACAATCTGAGCTTCCTGAATAAGAACCAACAGAAATAGTGCAGTGAAACATGCTTGCCACTTTTTTATCTTTCTTTTTTTTTTTTTTTTTTTTTTTTGTCATACCGACATGTTTTAGTCATCAACAATACCTGATATTAGACATAGGTGATCTGCTTAATAAT